GGTGACGGGGGAAAGATAGGTCGAGTGTCCCGCGGATCGTGCTATATTAATGACCCCTTTACAATTATATCCATCTAATGGCTGTATAGTTTTAACAAATCAGAACGAAGGAAACTATACGACTATACAACTATGCGACTATACGGCGCTACGCCTCCATTGAAGTACTCGTGAACGCATGCATAGTTTCCAGCGTGCGGTTGAAGTGCCATAATTCTGTACAAGTATACGAATATACAGCCATCGAATTGATGTATAGTTTCAACCAATCAGAACGTACTCCCCTAATTAGTCTAGTTGTGCTCCCCTCCCCCATGTTCAAAGGGTCTAACTATCAGGGCCGTAGCCAGAGTTCGATGTTTTTTTTTTGTTTTTTTTGGGGGGGGGGGGCACATAGGCTACATGTAATTGATCCTGGGGAGGGGTCTAAAAAAGTTCAACCGATCGTGGATTTATATTTTTGCATTAATTTATTATTATTATTATTATTATTTTTTTTTTTTTTTTTGGGGGGGGGGGGGGGGGTGAACGTGCCCCCGTATGCCCCCCCCCCCTCGTGGCTACGGGCCTGCTGCCTATGCCAGTGCTTTCTTTGAAGTGAACATAATGCGAATGACAAAATCTTGTCAGAAGCCAGCGAGAATGGAACCGTGTATAAAATGGTATGAAAAAGATATGGGGAGAATGAAAACAAAATAACAGGAAAAGTTATGTATTGATATTTCATGCTGTATTGTCAGTGTAAGGAATATGAAGTGGAAGTCCAAAGATTCCTTTTTCAATAGAGAAACTAAAACTAATACTTATGGGTATCGAGTGCCAAATGAATATTAATGTCTTCCCTTACAAACATGTATCATGGTAACCATTGTACTTTTGTCCAAATTACCAGCCACCATGCTACCAAAACAATGAAATACCCTGGGTCATTAAACAATGTATTTCATTGTTTTGGTACAATGATAGCCATGGTGGATGGAAATTTGGACAAAAGTACCATGGTTACCATGGTAAATTTTTGTAAGGGTTTCCAAAGGATTTAGTCTAGACTCTTCGCGAGCGGTGTAAATAACAAATACGCTGCCGGGGTCGAATCCGGGACCTTTGTATTAATACCAGTTCAGTGGGTCAACCTACTCGATTACAAGTCCAATTTGTATAGAGCAAGTCACCTTTGAATGTTTGTTTCCATTGTTTTTGTATATATACTTCGTTTCTACAGTGACCCAATGCCCAATGCGTGTCAATGTACTATCGTGAAGTTTAAAGGGCCTTGGTTAAGGCCGGCTCACACATGACGAATAGGGGGATACCACAAGCTACGTTAAGCTGCGAATTGCAATATTGAATTTCCCGCCAATCATCGTGTGTTGCCTTCAATTGTCGCTGACGAGGCGACTGAAGACGGCCGAAACTATTTCGCGTCCGTCGGCAAATTTTCAGCATGTTGACAATATTTTTGTGACCGTTGTGATTCCGTTGTGAGCCGGCCTAATAACATTGTTAAGAAAATGGTGCTAATTATTAGGTAGTGACGTCAATGCTAGATGTACAATCAAAGATAATCTGAAAGTTTGAGTTTAATTTATTCCCTACGTAGTGAATTCATGGGCCCCCAAAAGCATTTTTGGGGGTATTTTTTTAAACAATAGAATAACATGCACCCAACGCATCACCAGTTGGTGTTGTGCATTTTATATGGGACATGGCTGTCGACATGCACATCGGGATTTTGTGAGCAGCAGATGGCAGTATACATGAATCGTATCAGTAGAGTATAAGTAAATGGCGAAGAGGGGGGGGGGGGGGGGGGGGGGGGGGGGGGGGGGGGAGCAGGGGTCACAGACCAAGGCGGAGAAAAAGAGGAAAGGGACTCATAATGAAAACCGTTGCTTCATAAGCCTTTCATTTGCTACAATCCAGGGTAAATTGCATGTGAAAAAACATGGTCAAATTAATATTCCCTTTCGATCAGAGAATCAACCTGTCTTACCACTTTCAAAAATTCCTTTGAGCCTACTTCATTTTTAATTAATAGTTCGACTAACATATTTTATGATTTGTATGCTTGTCTGTTATTTTTTACAGTATCTTGATTCTCTTTTTTTGGCTTTTAACCCTCTTAGAAGATCAAAGATCGACATTAATTGTTATGATTATTAAAAAGAGAAAAAGAAGAAGAAGGTGTTTATTATGGAAAAAATTAGGAGCCAAGATGAAAAAGAAGATGAGGAAGAAATTAAAACGGTGCGAGCAATTTTTGGTGGGCACTCGAAAACTTGAAAAATTGCACCCCCTTGAGCGCCAGGGGTGGAGGGGCTCATCTTAAAAAAAAAGAGGTAAAACTAAAGTGTTTTTAACACGTTTTTTCCCAGGGGTGGGGGGAGGGGCCGGACCCCCCCCCCCCCTGGTGGATCTGCCACTGGGTACAATAAAGTCCCGCTCGAGAATTGTAAACAAAGTATTGACTTTTCACTTTTCTCTAAAAAAGGGCGGGTATTTTTTTCTCTTTCTTTTAATTCCTGTTGAATTTAAAAAGGGGGTTATAAAAGAATGGATTGAAAAGGGTTATTCTATATGTTCTCTCTCTCTCTCTCTCTCTTTTGGACACCGGAAAAAAATAAAAAAGGGGTTATAAAATATCTTTAAAAGACTTGAATATCAAAGATAGATCGAGGGTAGGCCTACATTTAGCAATGTTCCGTCCATAGATTTAGGGGGTATCTCCAAGCCGCAGGAAAAGCCCGCGATCGACTAAAGCATGCGAAAGGGGGGGGGGGGGAGGGGTTCAGAAATGTTGGCAGTCCTCAGATAGAGGGATGCTTTTAAAGGGAGGGAACTAGCATACGCGTACCCTAAATGAGGGGGGGGGGGTTGGAGGAGCTCCATTATTAATCAAATTGAGGCAACCGGCGAATTTCGGGTGTATTAAGTTAAATAATTTTCACTCAATGCCACTATATAGAACGTGATAGTTTATCCAGGGAGGTGAGACTTTAAAGCTTGTAGCTGATACCCAGGACCAAAATCCAATTGAAACCAGTTGAAATCTCCAACTGGTTTCAATTGGTTTCAACTGGTTTCAATTGGTTTCAATTGGTTTCAATTGAAATTGAAAATTTCCAGTTGAAACCAATTGCTGAACTGGAAAATATTGTTATGGGTACTCATTTCCAGTTCAAACCAATAAGAAGTGCAACTGGAACCAGTAAGGTAATTTTTCCAATTACTCAAATTGGTTCCAGTTAGAAGTCATTTCCAGTTACCCAACTGGTTCCAGTTACAAGTTCAACTGGAAACAGTAAGATGATTTTCCTGTTACTCAATTGGTTCTAGTTAGAATTCATTTCCAGTTACCCAACTGGTTCCAGTTAGCATTCATTTCCAATTACCCAACTGGTTCCAGTTAGAATTCATTTCCAGTTACCCAACTGGTTCCAGTTAGCATTCATTTCCAGTTAGAAGTCATTTCCAGTTACCCAACTGGTTCCAGTTAAAAGTCATTTCCAGTTACCCAACTGGTTCCAGTTAGAATTTATTTCCAGTTACCCAACTGGTTCCAGTTAGAATTAATTCCCAGTTACCCAACTGGTTCCAGTTAGCATTCTTTTCCAGTTAGAAGTCATTTCTAGTTACCCAACTGGTTCCAGTTAGAATTCATTTCCAGTTACCCAATTGGTTCCAATTGGAAACATTTCCAGTTACCTAACTGGATCCAATTGAAACCAGTTAATTTGCATATTATATGCTTGTGTGCAGATCAATGTTTTATGTAATTTATTTTGATTTACAATGTACTTATTAATTAATTTTCATTTGCAAGTAATGCATTTGTTTTAGATAAATATAAAGATTAATTAGCAATGATAAGCATGTTCAATAGTAACATATTTTTGTAATTACACAGATTAAAAGTTGATTAGTAAAACACTAACCATGTACAAAATACATCAAATACAAACATATATAATGGCAATGCCATCCTTGGCAACTAGGCGTTGTGGCGTGCGCCTGTAATCCAGCTAACAGTGGAAGTTACAAACTGATTCAGCAGAGGACGCAAGTTCGAAACTGAGTCACGTCTTTCGGATGGTGACGTGTTAAAGGTCGGTCCCCAGACGTAAATAATCATATCTGATTGATACACGTCTGTAAAAACCCAATTACACACACACTTGTTAAGTATATTATATGGTCTGCATATTATGATGCCCTTTACATTGTACTTAATGTAGACACATATAACAATGTTTCTGTGTTGACATGAGCGATAATTAGTGCAAGAGCTAATTAACTTGTAACTAATTAAGTTTTTGCCAACTGTAAGTTTCAATTGGATCCAATTGGATCCAAATGAAACCAATTGAAACCAGTTGAAACCAGTTGAAGCCAACTGGTTTCAATAGGGAAATTGGAACAACTGGTTCCAGTTGAAACCAATTAGGCAACTGGAACCAATTGGCAATTGGTTTCAACTGGTTTCAATTGGAACCAGTTAATTGGCAACTGGTTTCAATTGGAACCAGTTGTTCCAATTTCCCTATTGAAACCATGCAGTTGGCAACTGGTTTCAATTGGTTTTGCTCCAATTGGTTTCAACTGGATTTTGGGCCTGGGATATAGGCCCTCTGATTAGCAGACTGATGGTCCTCTTCACAAAAAGAGCTGAATGGTGGTCTCCTGATTCTGTAATAATTATTTGAGGGATACCATCCCCCCCCCCCCCCCCCCCCCCCTTTAAAACAAAAACACACATAGAACAAATCCCATCATAATAAACTTATGATATGGTATAGTCGCACGTATAGTAGGGACTTTTAGATTCGCACGAAGACAATAGGTCTATGCTACGATCGACGTCCTTTTAATGCACTGCCTTGAATGGACGTCGCACGTATCAGTCCGGGCAAATCTAAAAGTCCCTATTGCTGAACGCGAGAGCGCCAGCTGTCATTCCCTTCCTCTCACACACACATGCGGCGCATGCAGCGCATATAAGCAGCTGCATCATGCACACAATATTGCAGTGCGGCGTGATCGAGTTTCACCAAAATTGATAGAGACAATATCGTATTTGATTGATAAAATAATGTAATTGATTTGTAACAACGTCTATCTTCTGGAGAGGAAAGCATCTGTCGATTTTGTCTTGTAAGTATTTGGTAATTGTATTTTTTAAGGTGAATTTCAGATTATTTCGATGCCTTGAAAGTTGAAGTGGCTTTGTTGTTGTTGAGGAATATGAAAACACGAAAATAATCATGTGGGGCTATAGAGTCTAGTGAAGAAATCTGGGCTGCTCGTGTTACCAACTCGTCGACCTGGGGGCTGCAATTTTTCTGGGGGTCGTTTCATGAAAATCTGGGTGGCGTTAGGTCACTCCAAACATGATTGACTACGCACCGCCTCCAGGAAAAGTGTTGAAAGCATGTCTTATTTAGCTAGATCTAGTATACCTCGTCTACGTTTGTTAATGTTTTTTAAAGCCAAGCACTGATCTTACAAAATAGGCCTAGATCTAGGGTCTAGAGGTATAACGTTAGATCTAGATCTAGACCTAGACTCTAGTAAAAAGCAAACTTTTTCAGGTACACCAGGATCGTCCTCATAAACGGGGATTTCCTCTTAAAAGCGGACAAAATGCGTCCTCTAAAATAAGGATCGTCTGCGTTTTCGTGGACGTTTTTTTTCATCATTTCTCTGCGCGCGGGTTTCCAAACCGCCTGCTGGCGATGCAAAAAACGGATTCCTGCTGCGTAGACTCTCAGTCTACTTTCATGGGTTGTCCGTCTTCCTGAGGATTTAATGTCTCTGTACAAAGTCAATGCAAAATGCATCGAGAAAATCATCACAGAATTTTGGATTCTTCTGCGAAAATGTGGACAATCCATATTTTTGGCGGATGCATCTGTCAGAGACGCCAAGTTGAAAGATCAGCAATGTGTGACATTTTTATGAATCGGAGCGTGAGCGCCCGGGCGAGGGTATAACACACGTATAAGGTATAGCTATATTTCAAAATCTAGGGTGCGCGTCAAGAGCGTTTTCAGACCCTCGAAATGCGTGATGTCACGCCTAAAGCTTGACACTTGGTAGCTCTGATCTGTCCGAGTTTTCGAAGACGATACTTATTTTCGGACCAGTGCCCCAATTGTTAAGAGGTATCAATGTTTTTTTAAAGGTATGTTTTTCATGTACAAATAATGTTTATGTTGTTTACTTGTTAGGGTTATAAAACCTAAATAACACATTTTTGTATTCTTATGTAATGTTTTAATGTTAACACCAATTACAATTCAACGGTGAACCTACACTACAGCATGAAGATCAAGAAAAACAATTTAAAAATGAATTTCCAGTTTTCATCTTTCGCTGCCCATAGACTAACTTAAAGTTGCCTTGAGATGGCATTCTAAAACAATATCATAGGTCTGGAGTGGTGACAAGGAATTGCAGCAGAAGTTGTCGCTCATCTTGGCAAAGACAGTTTTGTAAAACTCTTAGCGGACAAGTTTAGCAAAAGCGGCGAGATGTTGTTGATCTTGTAGTTATGACGGTTTCGATAAACGACGCCTGGGCTAAGGCTGGCGTGCTTGTATGGTTCGGTTCGGTTTGACCTAAGGTTACGCACAGTTCCATAACAAAATTTAAAAATATCGCCAAGATCTTGAAAATCTTATACTCCCAAGGTAAAGAGGAACCTGAAATATCCCCGGCCCCCCACTCCGGGGTCGTCTGACCCGTATTGACTTTACACACCAGAGATACATTGTAGGGGGTGCTTTCAAAGGGAAGAAACATGCATACGCATACCCTAAATAATACCGAGTGAGGAAGGAGGGGGGGGGGGGATATCCTTGTGACAACATTTTTATTAAACCTTTACAGCATTCTGAAAAATATGAACTTTAAAACAACAAGTGTCTAGAAATCTTCATTTCAAGATAATTTATTTTATCAAAAGTAGACACAAGATGACAATATCACCACTTAATGTAATGTTATAATGAAGCGCCACTGACGGGCAGAATTATTTAGTCTATGTCTATGTTTCCTAATCCTATCTCTTGATAAAGTCAGTCTGACTCTGTGAAAGTTCTTAAATTTCACCTTGCATTTTTTTCAAAATTAACCCCCCCCCCCTCTCCAACTGAACATCTCAGTTTGTGTAGGATATTTTTTTTCCTTGGCTTGAACAAGGTTGGGACTGGCTTACGAATTTTCAAAGATTTTCGAGCATATTTTTTTGTTGCACAAGAATAAGATAATTGTCTACTCAAACTAGTTGGGAATAAAGACCTGTGGGACATGGTCATCTTTTCACACAGGGGTAAAATTCATTGTATCTAGAGCTGATTATTAAAGTTTAAAGCTGTTTAACTAAACAACTTCAAAGTAAATTTTCCCTTTGTGAACGTCGTTTATACGATGTTCGGACAGATACAAAGTCGCGATCTATACGCCGGTCAGAGCAGGCTACAGATACAAAGTCTGTATCTAGAAAGCAAGACAAGTTGTGTGCGAACGGATATACGTTCTTAACTGGGTGCAGCTAAGACTTGGCACTGCTTGTAAATGCGCAATGGCCCTACTGAGCGTTTGAAGAGCAGTGAATCTCGAACGACCGCACACAAATTTTCTCTGTGTAAAAAAAACTGTAAATGATGTATCTAAAGCTGATTAGTTTATGCTCTTTACACTAATCAGCTTTAAAGAATTTTACCCCTGTGTGAAAAGGCTGCTTTTACTGCCCAGGCAGCTTAGTCAGGTGCACCAATGTCTATAGATTATTACCATGTTTTGTTTACTCATCTGTATGTTCTTTTTTGACAAGTACTGAAACGTAAAAGAAATATTGAAAAACAATAATAATAAGAGAACATAATGTAGCCGAGGCTGGAAATTAATTTTTGGAAAGAGTGGTGGAGGAGGGTCTTGATCTAATTTGTTATATTCTAATTTTTCTACAGAAATGCATTGAGGAGCGTGATGAAGAGGACACCACTGTGCAGATGAATGCTGGAGGTTGATGATCAGTGTTTGCAGTGAATCACAATCCGTCCATCTGCTGTCTGGACCTCCCTGCTCTGATTAGGACAACCCGTCCTGTGCTGCACTTGAACGGTTGCTAAAACATCTGCAGTGAGCCACAATCAGTTCAACTCTTCTCTGACCACCCTGCCCTGATCTGAACAACCCGTCCAGTACTGCACTCCAACGGTTACTAAAACATCTGCAGCGAGCCACAATCAGTTCAACTCTCCTCTGACCACCCTGCCCTGATCTGAACAACCCGTCCAGTACCGCACTCCAACGGTTGCTAAAACATCTGCAGTGAGCCACAATCAGTTCAACTCTTCTCTGACCACCCTACCCTGATCTGAACAACCCGTCCTGTGCTGCACTTGAACGGTTGCTAAAACATCTGCAGCGAGCCACAATCAGTTCAACTCTCCTCTGACCACCCTGCCCTGATCTGAACAACCCGTCCTGTGCTGCACTCCAACGGTTGCTAAAACATCTGCAGCGAGCCACAATCAGTTCAACTCTCCTCTGACCACCCTGCCCTGATCTGAACAACCCGTCCTGTGCTGCACTCCAACGGTTGCTAAAACATCTGCAGCGAGCCACAATCAGTTCAACTCTCCTCTGACCACCCTACTCTGATTTGAACAACCAGTCCAGTACTGCATTCCAAAGGTTACTAAAATATCTGCAGCGAGGCACAATCAGTTCCAGCTCATCTCTGGACCTCCCTGCTCTGTCAGGTAAAGTATGCAAATCAACTAGAAAGAGCCTGACAGCTAGAATGTATAAAATCAACCACAAACTCTTTGCATGGTACTTTGTGAGTTAATAGATAAGTTTTGACATGCCCTTTTAAAGTGACTCAGTAACGTTGTCTCAGATTCTGAAACAAATTTCTGAATTTAGCTCATGCTGCAACGATAATTATAAACCTTTACTGTAGGTCAGTCAGGAACCTCATGACTTTTACAAGCTGATTTCCTGTCTGATTATCAAGATATTTATGATTGGAAATCAAAATCAAATTTTCTGGTTTCCTAACGGTTTTAATAACACTACAGTCTATTGGGGTAAATGAATATGGTAAAACCAGTCACTCAAAGATTTTTACTTTTTTTAAGCACTTTATGATAATTTTGAAGTGCAATTTTTTTAGGGCTTCAATATTACACCCTATCAGAGACACTGATAACATGTAGGGCCATGCATCTCAGATTTAACATAGTTAAACATAGTTAAGACTACTTGACGCATCCGAACACACTCTCCTAGAAGGACCCATACAGAACCAAAGTTTAAATTGGCTTCATGACATCATGTGCAGGTTTCTTTCTTTTTTCTTTTTTTTTCGCAGAGGGTGAGAGGTTGTTATTATACTTATTTAGTAGTTTTGTGTGTATTCGTGCTTACAACATCTCAATTCAGAAGTAATATCTAAATCTTGTATTTTTAATATAGTAGTGGCAGCATGGAATATAAAAACTAAATGTTTGTTTTCTTCAACATTCTCTTCTTTTCTTCTTTCTTTTCTGCAGGGATTTGTTGGAGTATGATAGCAGGTGCTCCATTACATCCCGCTCTGGAGACGAATGCGTGAAAACAATCCATGCTGTCGATGAACCTTCGTCTTTGTCTAGCTCCTCACAAAACCCTTCAGCCTTGAGATATCTAGAGTTCATCGGGTTCTCCATATCTGTGGTGTTGGTTATGGTTATTAGTTGAACACAAAGACAGAAACTTAATTTTCTTTTTTTCTTCAGAATTGAATTGAATCATCAATTGGTATTACTATAAGAGAGACAAATTATACTGCCCCTGTTGTGCATAATCTGTGCTAACGGTACAAAATCATCTTTCTGTATCCCTTTTCCCCCTCTGTTTTTTCTCCCTTGCTCTTTCCTTCTCTTCTCTCTCTGTCTCCCTCCCCCTCTCATCCTCCCCTTCTCTATCTCTCTCTCTCTCTCCTCTTTTCTCTCTCAACCTTTCTCTCTCCACCTTTCCCTCTCCCTTTTCCCCCTCTACCTTTCTCTATCCCTTTTCTCCCTCTCTCCATATTTCTCTCTCGCTTTCCCCTTTCTCTCTCTTTCTCCCTCTCTTTCTCTCCTCTCTTTCTCTTTCTCTCCCTCTCTCCCCTTTCTCTCTTCCCTCTCTTCCCCCTTCATCAAGAATCTTAGATCTTGCTGTTATTCTTCGAGCATTTTTGGATTAGAATTCTCAGGACAGCTTTCATGCCAATTGGATGGCCCAAACATCATGAAATAACGCTTATGATTTAAGGATGTAAACATGGACAATCAGGAATGTTCAACCTACAGTACTTTTATAATTATATTATAAGTTTACATATACACTGGTTAAATGAATGTTTATAACTATTGATAAATAGCGGTATTGTACTATCTGCTCTTTGAGTACTATGAATTCCAAATGAGATATTGCCTGCATGACTTTAACAGGTATCTATTTCTGTGAAAGACGAGCAATTTACTAGCATTTCATACATCTGTTTTATTATAACATTTTTTAACCCAAAGATATTTATTTTCTTATCAATCATGATTATCACTCGTAGTAGCACCACAGATACACTGGATAAGAAAGGTTCTAGGGTTAAAAGGAAGTCCATACATAAGGCAATTTGTCCATGTTGCAATGTACCTGAAAAGGTCATCACCAAAAGCCCCAAAATAGTAAAAAGAATTCAAAAGAAAAATTCTCTTTGCAATGTTTGCGGTAAGAAATTTTCTCGAGCCAATTTGGAGAGACACAGCAGGGTCCATACCGGCGAGAAGCCCTTCGCTTGCCAGCACTGCCAGAAAAGTTTTTCGAACGAGGCCAACAGGACACGACACGAGTGCGGGCACACAGGACTGAAGCTCTTCAAATGCAGACAGTGCGGGAAGGGATTCTCTCGCAAAGAAGGCTTGAAGTGCCACCAGAGGGTTCATTCGGATGCTCGACCTTTCGAGTGTAAGATTTGCTCAAGAACTTTCAAACACAAGTCCCACGTGTATGCACACGAGCGCTTTCACACGGGCTACCGACCGTACAAGTGCGAGCAGTGTGGGAAGGCCTTCACGCAGAATGCCGACCTGAAGGCGCATATGCGCGTTCACACTGGGGAGAGACCTTACGCTTGCTCCATCTGTCAGAAGACGTTCACGAGACGTCCCATTCTCATTCGCCACAAGCTAATCCACACGGGGCTACGTCCGTACAGCTGCAAGGAATGCGGGAAGACGTTTCTTCAGGATTCACATTTGAAACGTCACGCCATCATCCACACGAATGAGAAACCGTTTCAGTGTGAACAGTGCGGGATGTCGTTCAACGTCAAGTCCAATCTCCGCGCCCACGAACGCCTCCACCTGGGGTTAAAGTTCACGTGCGAAATCTGCGGGAAAGGTCTGCAGCATCGCGCCTCACTCACCCATCATCGGCGCCTGCACACCGGCGAACGCCCCTTCGTCTGCAACTACTGCATGAAGACGTTCAACTCCAGCACGCGTCTCAAACAGCACGTTCGTTTGCACACGGGCAGCAAGCCGTTCGCCTGCGACGTGTGTGGCAAAGCCTTCCGAACGAGCAGCGACCGGATCATCCACAGACGCATACACAGTGGGGAGAGGCCGTTCGTGTGTAAGAGATGCGGAAAGGGGTTCGTCAAAACAAGCGCGCTGACAAAACATAAGAAATTAAAATGCGATGAAGTGTAATCGTGAAGACCAGGGATGCCAGTTTTCAGGCAATGGCCTGAATTCAGGCCCTGGCAAGTTATTTTCAAAGCATAGTTTAGGCTTTCTTGTGTACAAAATACCTCTTTCTAGGTAATTTTCAGGCCCTCTGATCAATTCCAACTGGCATCCTTGTGAAGATGTACTTGCCAATTTGGTCTAAGCCACTAAAATGTGCCAACAATAGCCAAACATGATCTTATCACACCATGCCAAATCAGGCCTGCAATGTTTTTTTTTTTCATAGATGAAGGTCTTGCTTATTTCGTTGTGCAATTCATGCCAAGCAATGACAATCAGTGTTTAGGAAAGTATTGTACATGTACATGTACAGTACATTATAGGGTTATTAAGAGTGAATAAGCAAGTTTGTAGATGTTACACGTATGTGCACATGGGCAGATAAAGGTAATTTGGTAAAAACTAAAAATTCATCGAGACGACTACGGGGTCTGTGTTCACAAAGTTATGTAATACATCATTAATTCACCAACAGCACGTTCTATAAAACACACGTGGAAGGATTTTCATGAAGGCTATGAAAAGGTATTTTTGATAAAGCACCATGAATTTTGGTGGTGATTGTTCTCGAATGCTGAAAGTGGGATTTGAATAACGATCTGTTGATGTTTTTCGGTCATTTTTACCATGTGCTATCTACAAACTAATCTATTACAGTCTTAGTACAGTCAAACCTGTCTTAGTGGCCACCTCTATATCAAAGTCACCTGTGTGTAGTGGTCACCTGTATTGCCTCCGTTTTGGAGAAAACGTGTGTTGAAGAACCTATCTAGAAAGGCCACCTGTTAATAGTGGCCAGTTTATGTGTTTCCCTTTGGTTTCTTGAATAGACAGGTTTGACTGTATTTCCCATTTCTCACAGGCTGTAATGCCTGGGATTTCATTTGTTCTACAGTTTCATGTAATCATGTTGATGTTTCATTGAAGCTAGATCCAAGATTCTGTTTAAATTTTCATTGATTAATCTGGGCTTGACATTATTAAGGTATAGACCAGTTTTGAAAATGCCCCCTCTCTCAAAAAATGAAATGGAAGCTCTAATTACCAATCATGTAAAAGAATATGTTTCGACTAATACGTGATGATACAAATTTTACTGGGAAACCTCCTACTAATTGATATATTTGGTAAAGGATTATATCTATCATGTAGTTCCATATACATCTTTCTGTGTACAGTGCTTGTAACTTTACCAAGACTGGGTCAAATTTCTTATCATTTTGATGATTCCAGAATCTTGCAGCACACACCAATACTTATATGCTAGATGATCAACCTTTTCTGATCGATTCCACAACGTTTCTTTCACAAGGCAATCGCGTGGCCAGAACTGGTCTATACCTTTGAATAAGAGTCTAGGGCGCCCCCCTGAAGAATTAAGTAAATGGATGATTGTGTTGATTATGTCTACTTTTTTCTGCACGTACTAGTACAATATTTAATCTATAAAAGCAAAATCTTTTGATATTGCCATTGAAAAATGATGGGGTCTGATATCTTTACTATTAACCTTAGTCATATCAAGAGGTTTTTCATTCATGGATGAAATATGATAGCTGAATATTATATGTTCCATTTCATGATGTCAGTGATTTTCTTTTTTTTGTTAATGGGTATTTTGAATTTTGAGATGAGATATGTGGCAGGATGTACTTTTCTAAACCATCAGAAAGCTAGCTCAGTTAATCATGAAGCCACAATTTTAGTCACCATTGCAGGACCTGTGTAATTGCTATTCACAATGAGTCTTTCCTGTAATGGTGTTTGAAAAACAAAAAAGATCATGGAACAGTTTTAAGGAATAAAAAGTTTCTTGATTCAGCTGAACTCTTTTTGTTTGTTGAGGAAATAAAGACAAAATATTAAAAAAATTATAAGTTCATACTTCATTGATTACGCTCGACTCCTTTTTGAGGAGGATGTGAAATGGAGCTATTGTCTTTTTGTGTGCTGCACGTCTAATACCATATGAAGATGTTTTTTTTGTGACATAGATCTTGTAATTTTGTGTATCATGTATGACAGTACTTACAATATGTACTAAACAAGTTAATATTTTAATTTCATCTGGTTCATTCAAAGATGTTTTTTGACAGAAGTTCTTGTACTCTTTTGTATCTTGTATGGCAGTACTTGTATATACATACAGTTGACTTAAGTCGACCTTCCATGATTTGAATAATCGCTTAAGTCGAAGCAATTTTTTCGACCAGATAATATAAACATGTGTTATTTTCCTCTCATAAGTAGAATTTCTCCTAAGTCAAATATATTTCTGTAGTCCCAAGAGGTCGGACTTGTACAAAGTTACCTATATGTAACTAAACAAGTTTATGTTGTTATTTGTCTGTTTCATGTAGCAGGATTATGCAGCATAGTTTATAAGGGCACAGTCTGTAGAGAAGTGATAATAATAATTATTAAACATTTTAATTCAGCGCATAACACATAATAATAATAATAATAATAATAGCTCGTTCTTATATAGCGCTTTTCAGGACCGGAGGCCCTCACAAAGCGCTTTACAGATAAGTATATTATCACCCCGGTCATTGGATTCAGGCTTACCGGCACACAATGTATGCACATTCTCCACTCCCTGGGGAGCATTCCAGCCAGGCGTCATTTTTACATGTGCACACTTGCTAATCTAACCACATTAGCTTTCGCATCCTACCGGGTAGCCATTTAACACCTGGGTGGAGAGTGGCAAATGTAGATCAATGTCTTGCCAAAGGACATTAGGCACAATTGCATGTCTCTATGCATTTAAGAACTAGAAGAAAACAAATGAACAATGCACTGGGTTCATGATTCTGGTTTTTTATGAATTGGTGAAAAGATACGTCTTCAAAGAATTGATAAAGGTTGTTATAGGATCCTATACTTTTCAGTTGTTTTGGTAACTTGTTCCACAAAAAAGTGGCTGCATATGAAAAAGACCTATCCCTTTTTGACTTTGTCATGGTTTGTGGAACACATAGCAGAGACTTGGAACTGGAACATAGCATTCTATCTGATTTATATGGGGTTAGCAATTCGGTAAGATATAAAGGAGCTAGTTGATGGGGCGAGAGTAGAAGTAATATTTGTGATTTAAAAAATAGTGTGTTGATGATATTCATTGCTGCAAATTAGTTTTTAGAAAGAGTTTCTCACATTATGTTGTCAGAGAGGGAAGCCATACCATAGTATGGTAATCAAAGTGTCAATTTGTTATGAAAATACAAAAGTGTTTTTATTTTTCATTCAAAATCATCTATCCAATTGAATGTAAACGCAAAAGGTACCTTAAAAACTGACAGAAAATTCATTGGGCCTTTAAATTGTTTTAAATCCTAAGATTTTCATATCAATCGAACACAATTGGTAACTGTTTTATGAACACATGTTGCAATGGGATATCTGTGACTGTGTTCTTCTGATGGTTTCGTGAAACATGCCCATGTCCGGAATATACAAATTATGAAGCCCACTAAAAAGATTCCATTGGTATGAGCTCAAATGTAATAATAAAATGGATCAATACTTGACCAAATATTGTGAAGAAAAATACACGCAGTACTAAACTTATCAGAAGTTTTTATTCCACAATTTGATGTTAAACATTCAATATACATACTTGAAAATGTAGATAGATTGTGTGTTTAACTAGGTGTTGATCAGGGTAACCCGACACATGCTCCGCCGACGATTGCTCCGCCGACATTTACTCCGCAAAACGCGACAATTGCTCCGCGACATTTGCTCCGCGACATTTGCTCCGACGTCAAATGCTCCGCCGACAGTTGCTCCGCCGACAGTTGCTCCGCCGACAGTTGCTCCGCCGACAATTGCTCCGCCGACAGATGCTCCGCCGACAATTGCTCCGCCGACAATTGCTCCGCCGACAATTGCTCCGCCGTCAATTGCTCCGCAAAACGCGACAATTGCTCCGCCGACATTTGCTCCGCCGACATTTGCTCCGCCTGAAGCGACACTTGCTCCGCCGACATTTGCTCCGCCGACAATTGCTCCGCCGACAATTGCTCCGCCTGAAGCGACAATTGCTCCGCCGACATTTGCTCCGACGACATTTGCTCCGCCCAAAAAGTGTCCCATAAACTACAAATGCTACTAGTACTACGACAAATGCTTCGCCGACAATATTTTCTTTACACCTATTTTTTTTCGTTTCTTTTTTTCTTCTTCATTTTCTGAATGCATTTCTTGAAATAATGTAGATGAAATGAAATGAATGAATGTTGATGAAGTGGGAGGAAAAAGGAGTTACCTAAAAGTCATTTCGAATATACTGAAATAACTTTCCATCTATCACTGTACGTCCAATATAATGTATACTAAACACTCATTACATGTCGTGGGAAGTTTTTAAAAAAAAGTAGAGCAGCAAGCCACATTCCCCAATACGCGCATACCTCCTAGTTAATTTCAAGTAGCTCATCAATATGTAATACCTGAAATTACCTCGATCAATGCATCTTACTAGGTAAAGCATTATACAATGTAATAGGTCATCATGGAAGTTTAGAAAATAAGTAAGGGGGATTTACCAAGTGTTGATCTTTTTAAGAGTTTTATAAAGAAACAAAAAGATATTGAATATTTCTCAGCGAAAAAAAGGAACAAGCTTGTTTCGCATTTTAAGAAATGGCGATTTGACTTATGATACTCATGTTGATTTAACTTTTATTCCTGTGCCCCCTCACTCCCCTTTATGCACTGGAGTTCAAACTATGATTTATATGTGTACAGTGTATTTTTTTTTTTACTATAATGTTTTTTTTAAAAACTTTCTTGTCCTTTCATTATTGTTAGTTGTTCTTATACATATTGGTTTTTTTGTTTGTCTAATTATTACCAATGACTTGTAAATATGTAATTTTTATATGATTGAAAATTTAATAAACACACAAATATAAAAAAAAAAGTTTAGAAAATAAGGGCACTTATATACGTAAGGAAGAGAACCCATTCAGACGGGAAAATGAGATGGCAGCCTTTCTGCTTATTCACATTTATACAAATCATTTTGTTGCAGTTTGATGTTAGTTCTTCATGATAAGCCAATTGCTCTTCTTCCGGTGGCTTCGTGAGTCCCTTAAATTATTTAGTGAAAACAAAGTACTCGAATGAAACGGAGTGTTTTGCACACTAACATATATATATTAAAGCTACATACACTTAACTAAAGGAAAGAAACCTTTAGAAAATGGACTGGATATTATTGAAAATATTATTCTAAACAAGAATGTACTACATGATTGTATTACTTTACGTTTCAATTTCACGAGAGAAATAGAACTCGAGAGGGGGAGCAGAGAAGAAGTAATGGAAATGAAAGAAGACTAATAGCATGAGAGGAAAGAAAAGAGCAAAGAAGACAAGAAAACGGTGTAAACAGGAAAAGGAGGAGCATGGGAGAGAGAGAGAGAGAGATAGCCTTGAGCTTTGGATCATCTAATGAGTAATACATGAAACAGATTTTGAGCGGAGTAATTATCTTTCGCCGGAGAACTTGCGTAAGGAGCTATAATTTTATTTTTTATTTTTTTAAATCAAACATTATGGGGAATAGCAAAAAACGGTTGTCTTTTTTGCTCTTTTCTTTCCTCTCATGTTATTAGTCTTCTTTCATTGAGGTAATTTCAGGTCTTACATATTGATGAGCTGTTTGAAATTAACTAGGAGGTATGCGCGTATTGGGGAATGTGGCTTGCTGCTCTACTTTAAAAAAAACAACTTCCCATGACATGTAATGAGTGTTTAGTGTACATTATGTGGGACGTACAGTGATAGATGGAAAGTTATTTCAGTATATTCGAAATGACTTTTAGTCAACTGCTTTTTCCTCCCACATTATCAACATTCATTCATTTCATTTCATTTACATAATGTCATGAAATGCATTCAAAAAATGAAGAAAAAAAGAAAGAAACAAAAACAACCCGTGAAAAAAAAATATTGTCGGCGAAGCATTTGTCGTAGTACTAGTAGCATTTGTATTTAATGGGACACTTTTTGGGCGGAGCAAATGTCGTCGGAGCAAATGTCACCGGAGCAAGT